TTTCGTGTCTCATATACTAAATAATAGCTACAGATATTGGTTATAGATTCTTTTTCTATGGCATTGCGAAGCGTTTGTTGTTTCCGCAAATAAACTAAATTTTTTTCTCATAAATTTCTGCGTACTACACTTCGTATCTGGTTTTGCTCTTCGAATTCGCGATTTTTTTTACCGCGGAGTTCTTATGCAGGATTAAATTTTGTTGTCAAATCGTTTGGCCGTGTAACGCATAGGCCAACAGATGGCCTCACACTGAGTATTTGTTTTTATTCTTCTTTTTCTGTGTTTTTTTGGTATATTTTTAAATTGCTTGTTAAATCTAAAGTGTAATTAAAATTTGGATATGTAAAATGCGTTAATATCTAAGTATATGTATTTAAGAGTAATTAACATTAATTTTAGTGAAGAGACAATTTAAGTAATTAATTAATTAAGTTAAGTTGTATATGAAACACATATTCGTTTAAGCTTTTAGATTACTGTCATATAATCCAAGTTGTGTCTCATACAGAATTATACAGTTATTTCCTTACTTTAATCATATGTATCTCATATAGAATTATATACTGAGTTTGAACTATAACATAGTTTCTACTTCCATCGAAATTTAATTTTCCGCGTCGGTTTACCTTGCAGCTTCTTTTAGTGTTTAATTTTCATAACGATCGAGACACTGAATGTTTTGCAAAAGGTATAGTAAAAGAAATATTTATTCCCAAATTCATGTTTTAAGTTAGTAAATATTTGTTCGAAAAAGGATGGGCGATTGTCTGATATATAGTAGAATGATTTTGATTAGTTACAAGCTATACTTTTTGGTATTGAATATTTGAGAACAGTGTAATGGATTTCAAAAATGTTCCTGGCTCATTCACTAATCAACTTCGATCGATTTTACTTCATGTATTTCCCCAATTCACCATTGTTTAAACAAAGATTACGCTAAAAAACCTGTGATTTTATATATATACGTTTTAAGGTAATACGAAATCTCATAAGATGCTTGGTATATTCATACATCTCGTCTGTAATTACATAAAATATCGGTAAATCATTCCAACAAATATTCAAATTATACTCCGTAATACATTGAAATATCCCATTGCGGTCTTCATGATCTAAAAAAGAATTTAGAACATGTAGAAGGAATAGATGATACAAATTTACAGTCATCCACAAAAATCTTCGAATGCTTTGCATGTAGTCCATTTTCAAATTGTTTATTTTTCAGATAAAACGTTGCAGTAATTCGCGACAGAGATTGCGTATTTTACGTAAATATTCTATTATTATTGTTCATATTTTCGAAGTGAAAATTCAAATATATCATGGGGGGGGGGGG